TCAGTCCAACAAGGAAGTATGATGGACACCAAACTCACCAAATCCTTCCATGTCCCTCCAGCCTCACTCCAATCCATCCCTTACATCATGCTCATCGTCGTCGTCCCTCTCTACGACACTTTCTTTGTCCCTTTCGCTCGAAAATTCACCGGTCATGATTCAGGAATCTCCCCATTAAAGAGGATAGGATTTGGGCTCTTTTTGGCAACCTTTTCAATGATTGCAGCTGCCATCATGGAGCAGAAGAGAAGAGATGCAGCAGTGAATTCAAACAAAATCTTGTCCATTTTTTGGATCACCCCACAGTTCTTGATCTTTGGATTATCAGAAATGTTCACAGCTGTAGGCCTTATTGAGTTCTTTTACAAGCAATCCTTGAAAGGGATGCAAGCATTTTTAACTGCAGTGACTTATTGCTCATATTCGTTTGGGTTTTATCTAAGCTCCCTCCTGGTGTCTCTGGTGAACAACATCACCTCCTCATCAGGCTCTTCAGGTGGTGGTGGTTGGCTTGGTGACAATAATCTCAACAAGGACAGATTAGACCTTTTCTATTGGTTGTTGGCAGGCCTTAGCTTCCTCAACTTCCTCAACTATCTGTTTTGGTCTAATTGGTACTCTCATAACCCATCTTCATCAGCATCAAGTGCGCTCGGGAATGAGACTCCCATGGAGGATTATAACCATTATAGATTGGATGATAATAATATACCATAAAGTTATAATAAATAATCTATATATGTAACGTTACACTTCATTTTATCTAGGGGGTAGGTCATCTTGTAATTTAATAATATATATATATATGTAATTATGAATGAAGGCAATAAAAAATAGGGCTCGAATGAGGCTCTCATATGCGCCGGCCTTTTTCTAATATGCGTATATACAGAAACATGCCATGCATAAAGGCACCCCCTATAGTTTTGGAAACTGGAATTATGTATAGCGCTTCAGTTAAGGGATCCATCAAATAAATATATACGTTAATTTATTTTCTTATTGAAGGAAAAGCACATATATACAACTTTCTTAAAAAAGAAACTAAATTTGAAGATGTATTGGAAAGCACATAGATATTTCTCTTTAAAAAGAAACTAAATTATAACATGGTCTGGGGAAAAATAAAGAAGGATGAACTTAGAGGACTAGCTTGCAAGTCCTTAATTTGATCAGTTGGTCCAAACATGTATGGGAATTTGTCTTTAACAAGATTCAATTAATATACATTTTGTTTGCAAGGAAGGAATTTGATGATGAGTTGATAACAAAAGAAGGATCATCGTGCCTTATCCTTTTGATTCTTTGAATGTCATAAAGGGAATACGCAAGTGGTGGGCTAGTGATGATGATATGTTACTTGAAATTAAGAGGGACGGAGGGAGGAGGGAGGAGGGAGGAGGGAGGGAGGGAGGGTCCTTTAGAGAAAATCTAACCACCATGATGTGATGCATGCAACATATGGGACATCATGATGAATAAGCCTAAAAAGAAAAAAGTCAAAAAGAAAAAAAGTAAGAGAGAGAGAGATGTAATCAATTAAAAAGTAAACTAACAGAGAAGTTTGTTCCCATTTTGATGTTGTTAGTCAACCATTATAACTTTCTACAAAGGGACATGTCCCAAACATGTTTTGATGTTGGTGCGCTATTTATATGTATGTAAATGTAATATAGGGGGCCCCTTGCTATATCCTTGTAAATTGTAATTTAAGAGACCATTCGAAAATGCTACATATTCATATGTTGGCCAAAACATTAGCATGTCGGCAACCGCAACCCCAACCAGAAAAGAAACAAGTCGACGACTTATTCATAATTTCATGGAAGGAAGAAAACTCATTCGCTCATGGATATCTGCATATCTCATGTATCTCATATATCTCATATACTTACACCACTAACTACATTATATATCCATCATTACTCATCACTCCACTTTCACTGTGTTCTCTTTAAAGACCAGACATTATAAGCGAGGATAATGGGGTGCAGGTGCAGCAGCCACACAAATCTTTTTCGTTATATTCTTCTCATTATTATTTTTTAGTAACTCTGTTACACCCAAAAATTGTTTCTGGATACTTACCAATATTCTTTGGAAACCCCTAACCAGCAGGGTGAGCTGTAGCGCAAGAGTCTTTGTTCATCAAGGACATTGTTGTAAGAACTTTCATGCTTTTCTAACCCTAATACTAACCTTGATCTGACATGGTTATAAAAGATCTTCTTCTCCTCCTGCAGCTCTCTCTAACTCTTTCTCCAGATGGGGTGAGATTTATGTATGAGTGTATGTTATAACTAAGAGGAAAGGGACTTCTATTTATATGCAATCAACCCTAGTGTCTTACCCATCAAGAAACACTCAAGTAGTCTAATTTACATTATGTTAGATTAAGTAAAATTCAATCCATATGAAATAGGGAAGTATCACAATCCTTGCTTAACTTGTATGGATTGAAACAATGGCCCCGTGCATGGTTTGGACGGCTCACCAATGAAGAAGAATGGTTTCAAGCAGATAGAGTAACTCATATAACCACTTTAATAAGATATGTTGATTACATGATTATTACTGGGTATGACGAACATGAAATATATCTTAGCTGCAAGACTATTTGGCCACTGAGTTTGAGATGAAGAACCTAGGTGGACTCAAGTATTTCTTGGGTATTGAGGTGGCCCAATCAAAGCAAGACATGTCTCTCTCTCAAAGGAAATATGCATTGGACTCATTGACAAAAACATAAATGCTAGATTACATTCAGAATCATCATTTTGGAGAATACTCGTATCAAGTTCTAACTAATAAAGAAAGATATCAAAGGTTAGCGGGAAGATTGATCTATTTGTCACATACTCGACCCAACATTGCTTATGCGGTGAGAATTGTTAGTCAATTTATGCATTCCACTAATGAAGATCAGATAAATGCAATTCTTCGAATACTTAAATATTTGAAGTCAACACCAGGGAAGGGACTTATGTTCTTAAAACATAGTCATTCAAATATTGGTGGCTATACAGATGCAGTTGGGCAGGAAGTGTGACAGATAGGAGATCCACATCCGGTTACTTCACATTCATGGGAGGTATTTGGCTACATAGAGGAGCAAGAAACATAAGTGGGTAGCCTATCCAATGTCGAAGTTGAGTTTAGAGGTATGACTAAAAGAATTTGTGAACTTGTTTGGTTAAAGAAGTTGCTTACTCAACTTGGGTGTGGACCTACATCAATGATGAATATTTTTTGTGATAATAAGGCAAACATAACTATTGCACATGATCTAGTTCAACATGATCACACCAAACATGTTGAGGTGGATCAATATTTCATCACACAGAAGCTCGAGGCTAGAGAGATTCAATTTCCTTTTATGAAATCCGAAGATCAGTTAGTAGGTATCTTGACAAAGGCCGTTGCCAGTAGAGCATTCCACAATTCACTAGACAAGTTGGGAATTGGCGACATCTATGCACTAACTTGAGGGGGAGTGCTAACATGACTTGTGGACTAATTAACTTTCTTTGCACACCAAGAATTCCCGTCCTATTCTAAATAGAAATATGAATTTATTATTTTACTTGGTCACTGAGACTCCGTTGTATTATAAATATGACCTCCTACAATGAGATGAATACATAGAAAATTATCACAAACAATATTCTCTCATATTTTAGCTATAAAGAGAAAGGTATTAAGTTTGTGTCCTACAATTTTTGTCCTGATGAACAATAAGTTCATTGCTCGTAAGACTTCATATACTTTTACTTATATATTACAAAATTGTCTTATGCATCGGCAAAATTTTACATTATAAGAGCATCTCCAAGGGAGATGTCAAATACCAAACATCAAATTTAAATTTGATGGCTGATGTGGCAATTGGACATATTGTAATACTCTTTATCCAACCAAGATGTCAAATATACATTTTATTTTATTATTTTCAAAGGCAGGTGGGCTCGGTATTTAAGAGTAAAATATTAAATAGGATTAAGAACTGTACATGGATGAGGAGAGAAGGAAGTGGGCTCAGCATTAAAATAATAATAAAAAACAAAGAGACGTCTCAACATGTTGGCGTCAATTTTGACAGCAAAAGTGAAGGACGTCAATCCAACTAGGATTTGGCATCACAGTTGGAAGGCTTAAAATGTCTTTTTCTAGGGTTAAAACTTGCCATGTTGGAATTGGCATTTCAGTTGGAAATGCTCTAAGATAGTTGTTCGTCAAAGCTTTTTATTCTAAATTTCATTATTTCAATTTAAAATAGACTATCCAATTTGGTCGTTTTCAAATCAAGATTCTTGCAAAGTAATTTTTACCACTACTAACTCTCCTCAATGACAGACAAAATTCATAATTTTTCTTTCTCGAGGATAGGACTTGAAGACATGAGTTTAGTGTATAAGCCAATCTCATGTTTATTCAATACTTAAAGCATTTCCAACTGATATGTCAAATTGTCACATAGACATGAAATGGAAAAAATTGAAGGTTAAAGTTGCTCCAACTGAGTAGTCAAATCCTACATGGATTTAAAGGTTAATGTCAAATACTATTTTAATATTTTTTTAGTCATGGACCCCACTATTATTTACTCTCTTTTAAAACTTTATACATCATATGAGTCTCATTTGCTAAATATAATAAAGTAATATAATATTTGGCATTTTGGGTGAAGTTAAAGTTTTTCCAAATTGTCAAATTGCCACATAAGGTATCAAATTCAAATTTAACATTTTGCATTTGACATCTCCCTTGGAGATGCTCTTAAAAGCCGACTTGACATAATCATCGACTTGCCTTCCCAAGGATAGGACTTGAATGAAATGAATTGAGTTTTTTTCCTTTACTTTGTTTCCTTTTCTGTGTTTTCCTTCCTTTTTCAATTTCAAGAGAGAAACTCTCATGTAACGCGAGTAACACTTTTTACTACTCCCAACCAATAACATTTCCACTAGTGAATTTCTGAGGTAGAAGATCACCACGGCCCATTGACTATGTTGCTGTATCCATACAGTGAAATCATCAACCGCACGCATAAAAACTAAATTAAAAAATCTCTCCCTTTTTTTTTTTTTTTTTTGAGAGAAGGGTTTATTTCAAGTACACAGTGAGTGTTTAAACCTAAACAAGCCAATTATATCATAATTTCTATAATGGTAAGAAAAACCCTCGTTAGAATTCAACTAAACCCTAACGTAAATAAATGTTTTTTAAAAGTATGTAACCATTAATAAGATTAAATTAATGGGCTTCGTAGGCCTATATATGAACTCTATTAATGAAGCAAAGCAAACGTCCACCGCATTCAGTACAGTGAGACTTGATAGTCTGGAGACAGTGAGACTTGATAGCTCGGAAGCTAGAGAAAGAGAAGACAAGTTGTCATGTCTTATTTGTATGGGGGACTTTTTTTGACTGATCGTGATGATCAACTAGTTACTCGCTTGCCCTGCTTACACCTCTGTCATAGAGGCTGCATTCTTCAGTGGTTGCATTGGCCTGAGTTGCTCGTGATGTCTGCACTGCAGGTGTTATAGTAAGTACTTTGCTGGGATTTGATTGGGCTATTTCAATTAAAATTGGACAAGAAGACTGAAGTACAGCGTGCTCATTCAACCTTAATTGGCCAAATTTCAAAACTTTTAGCCTTTTGCCTTTCCGTGACCTATTCTGCTTCTTACGACTCCTCAAAGTAGTATCTCCATCCTTTCCTGCATGAAACTTCAGTCTCAAATGACACACAAAGCAAGAAAAAGTGATCATGTCTTATCTCTTATCCAAAAGATCAGAAAATGTTTCTATCCATGCTCAAATTTAAATTGAATTTCCAGGTAATTCCACATTGTAGTTTAGAGCTTCGTAAACTAATGTGAGAGATCAATCAGTTTCATCATGGGCTACACGTACTAATAATTAAGGGCATGCGATTTTTTTACAGAATAGTGAGACTTCGAATTATTGTCTCCTCTATTATGACTAGCCAGTAGTAACAATATTTGCAAGCTCACCTTGTACTGAATGATCTGGGTTTTTCTGAGTCTTTTTCTTCTTACATGAAAGGGGGTTTGGACCCTGCAAGGTGGAAGAGAAAGGGTGGTAAAGTCATAAACATTGAAACAAGCATCTTAAGGAACCATTTTTTAACAGTATTAGCATGCCACCACAACGTGTTAATCTATATTAGCCCAATCAAATCCAATTTAATTTCACCAAAAATTTGGAAAATAGAACATACGTCAGAACACCGAACATCAGCTCAATGATATAATCTACATAGTAAGCCCTAACTTTTTAAGTCTAGAATAGGAAAAAGACTATGTTGCCATTTCAAAGTGATCATTACAAATATTGAATAATAGGTGAGACAACGTTCAAGAAGCAACAAATCACTCATTTGTTACTTGAAATTTAATTTATATCAATCACAGAAAAATTCATTCCATATATGGAATACAATATGCACTTAAGGCAAAGGATTAATATATTATCAATAATAAAAAATCTATGTAACAAACATCCTAAAACCAGAATTTAAAGACAATAACAAATTAACCATAGGAAATGATGCAGAATGCATATTATTAGTTTTCCTTATTCTACTTGGATTAGTTTTCCTATTATTAGTTCTCCTAACTCTTAAAAGGTTCCTTCTTGGTAAAGGATTTCTTATTAGCTAATTTGCTTTCCTATTTCTTAAAGATTCCTTCTTGTTAAAGGATCTCTTATTAGTTCATTTGCTTTCCTATTTCTTAAAGATT